AAGTCGCATCGCCTGGCTCTTTCCGGGGCTTTGCAAGAGGGTTTAGGATTTTATTTGGTCGCCAAAGTGTCTACATGGCTCGAAGAGGTTTAGGACTTAAGGTGTAGAGTTGTCTCCGGATTTGTGGACATAGAGGGGCTTGGGTTAGGGTCCGGTTCTTCGTGCGATCGAAGCCCATGTAACGATCCTCAATCTTCCGTATGAGAACCCCTAAGACCCGAACAAGACCCTCGCAAGAAGCCCCCCCCCCCCCCCCGCACCCTGAAACCGTTCTGGAACTCATCAGGGTGGGTCTGGCCCCCGGCTGTGGTGTCGAGGAGTACTATACGTAGGGTCTACATTCTACGTTAAAGTATAAAGGTTTGATCTGTTCTACTGGTAGTCGGCAGGTGCTCGTGGAAGCAGGGAGCACGTTCAGTTGAGATCGCAGCGACAGTTGCGAAGTAGGGCGACATTGGGACAAGGCGACAAGATGCTCCAGAAGACGTCTCTTTCGAACAGTCGGACATGTTCACCTCGAACTAATGACCGACTGTCGAAACACACCTGAACATATCCATGAATTAGACAGGAAGCATGTCGGGAGGAGTACCACCATGGGCCAAAGAGTCCGCCAGGAGAGCTTCAAAAAGGCCCGGGACGTTCATCTCTCTCTCCAACTTATGAACCACATGTTCCAACATGCAAACCTGCTTGTACAAACCCGCGCAGCGAAACTGCCAATACCAGGACCAGCGCCAGCTGACAAAGCTAACCTCAATCTGCCCCTGTCTCTTATGTAGTCTTACTACCCTGGCTGGCGTGCGAAACCTGCTACTGGCAAGACTGGTATGCAGAGTTCGCACATGAATGACTCGGAGATCCTCATGAGCATCCCGAACTCGGTGGTCCCCACCACTGTGTTAAACACCACCTTCCCGGAAGCTTGAAGTCACACCTCGAGGGGATTGTCTTTAATGGTCTCCATCTTTTCAATCATGCGCTCCTCGGCAGAGCATGTCATAAGGTGCCGACATGACACACGATTACGCATGCTTCATCGTTCTCTAGACTTCATTACTGTGCAACTACGGGCGGGTTAGGAGATTGTATGCTGCCTGGGGCTCGAGATGCAGGGTACTCGTGACTCTTGTTCCTTCGATTCTTCCTCATCAATGTCCATGCCAAGGTCACGACTCCAACCCTAAACCCTAAGCCGCTTCAAGAGGGCTCGGAGGCCCTTGCTTCTGTGAGTGATTCCTCTAACGGCTCTGCTCGAGATTGCCCTTGAAGACCACCTAATGATCGCCTAAATCTGACTGTGTATCACTGTGTATCTGTCAAAATTCACCCAAACTCATGAACTTTTCCTCTGGCCGCTTCAATACTCCAACATACAGACCTGCCATCTGTGGGTGACTTTCCAGTCGACAAAGATTTAATTTCTACACGATCGGCTGAGGGCAGCGCGATGGGATTCAGAAGCAACTCATTTGCGTCCTCTCAGGGTCATGCGATGTTGGCATGTTCTTGCACAAGGGTGTGTGAACATCTGCTTCAGCTTTGGATGCTAAGCACAGAGGAACTAAAAGCTGCAGGCCCCGTCATGACCATGGGTAACCTGCATCGTGTTTGCATCTGGCTCTAAGTATGGGCGTCCTTCGGGGAGGACCTATAGAAGGGCCAAGGCTGGAAGATTTTTTGATACCCTTGCTTACCTTACTTACCCCAAGGTCCGTGGAGAAGGTCATCGCCCCGACGCCAACAGCGAAGCAGATGAAGAGGGTCTGCAGGATACTGAGTCCGGCCTGGACAGAGTCATGGATGCAAATCGCTGCCAGCCGTCGTGCAGAAATCCAAATTCGTGTGCAGAATCTTCGTGCTAGTTGCATAAAGGAGGGACGTACGATCAGCGAAGTGCCTGAGCAATTCGAACAGGGTATTGGGAGGACATCATGGCACAGGTAGTTGCAGAAGAGCACAACGAGGGGACACTATCACTAAGTCTTCCGACCCCTACTGTTGATGATGTAAATCCTGCATTACCTTAAGGACCCTAAACTATGGGAATTGTGGTATATTCCTTACTACGGGGTAATGCAGGATTTATATCATCAACCGTATGGCCTATGGTAGCTTCAGGATCCCTTGAAACCCGTTAGGACTCTAGGCAGATGATGGAGGCTGAAGATCTGGAAGGTCATTTCTTCAGGCCCTGGTGGTCGATCCTGGACGGCACGGCCTAAGTGATGAGGCTGCCCTACTTACCTACTTAAAAAGGTGCAGATATCTGAAGACGACTTCCAAGACTACATTGGGTAAGTAGAACTGTTGCCTCAGAGTGCGCCAGAACTGGAAGCTTGTAGCCAACTCTGCCATAAAATCACATTCTGTAAACCTGTAAGCCGAAACCTCGGCCCAAAATGCAAACCCAACCATCAACGACCCTACCAGACCTTATTTAAGCAGTTGTCTGGCCTCGGTCTGCGTGTAACCTCTCTGGTCAAAGGCAAAGAGAAAGGAAAAGGATTCACTTTCCTGCAAGACCAGCTTCTGTCAGGTTTAAGGTTTAGGTTTAGGGTGTGGTGGGAAGCATCACAACAGTCGTCACGGTTGCAGCAAACTGATCACAGGCAAGAAGCGAAAGTGGTGTGGAGTAGAGTTTCCCATCTTCACACGAAGAGGCGACATGAGCTTGCTCCGATCACAGAGTGTGCGTAGAGGCTTACATACATGCATACATGCATACATACATACATACATGCCTGCCTGCCTGCATAGATACATTCTTACATACATCTATGCACATACACATAAAGAAGTAGAACCAACCAGCATGTGGTTGCACATGCACCTGGAAATATATGGCATGTACATATTCTATGTTAGTACACATAGGTAGATCTCTGGACAGTCACCTGTGTATCCCAAGATTTCAGGACATCCGATGCCCGGCTTGCGCACTTAACAGCAGGCTCCTTTGAAGTGAAGGACAGGGGGGTGACGTACTGCACCTGATCAGACGCTAGCGCAGGTCTGACAACGTCAGTGCTTCGTTCTTAGCAGGTCGGGTGAGGGTGGGTTTTCAAGGACTTCGGGAATGTTGCTGCTCTCTCTGCAGGCCCTCGGGACAACACCAGTAACACCCAGCTCTCCAGTTCGACTTACATCGAAGAAGACCGAGCCAACCTGCACATCTTCCGACAGAAGCATTACTTGCGGATTGCTTCGGAGTTTTTAAATACAAGCCGTACACTGTACACGAGTGTGGTGCAACTTCTAGAAAGAGGGCGAAGCTGCAAACTAGGACAACTGCGGAACGTGAAAGAATTCGAATCTCAAAAAAAAAGGACACAGGGTGTATCTTTAAGGACCTTTGGCAAGGACTCGTAGTTTTGTCCAGACACGACTAAGCAGCCCAGACACAGACACACCGACACACACACACACACAGAGACAGAGACACACCAGCTTGAAGTGAACGCAGCACCAAGAACACAGTCGATGCCTCGGAACAGCGGAGCTCCACGTCCACGGAACATCCGGTGGCCGTGGTCGCTCTCAACTCCTCGTCAGCTTCGGCATGCTTCGCTGGGCCGCTGGGTCATCATTGCTCGGGCTTGTGTGGAAGCAGGTCGTGAACAGATTCACTAAAAGGAAGGTGTATGTGACACATACGAACACAAGTGAACATAAATGAGCACACAAGCGGAAGAACGATTCTGTTAATACATCATTGGTCTTGCTTGCTTACTTGCTTGTGCGGGGGTTTGGAGGTTAGCGAAGTTGTTGCTCTCTGTCCCTCTCTCTCTCTCTCTCGCCCTTTCTCGTCTAGGTATGCATGCATGTTATGCATGCCTGTATGTTCTACCAATATGCAGTTTCTCGTGACTGAAACCGCCGGCGATGTAGTGCAGGCTCTGCAGGCCTTTCACTAGCGACTTCCGTATACACACGAACAGCTAAAGTCTTGGAATACCCGAAAGGCCCATCAGCCGAATCCGATTTAGCGCCAGACACCTGTGCACAACCTAACCTGTAGCTACTCGCTGTCGTGGTGCTATCAGGACTGAGGCAGCTGCTGGCTGCACAACGATACCCACTGCGGAGCGGCACTGCTCCTGCCAAACG